AAATGGTAATGAAAAAAAAGCAGGGGTAGCAATACTCAAATCTGACAAAATAAACTTCAAAATGAACACCATAATGAGAGACAATGAAGATCACTACATAATATTAAAGGGATTGATCCAACAAGAGGATATAACCCTGATAAACATATGTGCATCCAATATGGGAGCAACCAAATATATAAAAAAAACTTCTGGAGAACTTTAAGGGAGAGGTTGACAGCAATACAATCATAGTAGGAGATTTTAACACCCCTCTGACATCACTGGATAGATCTTCTAGACAAAAAAATCAACAAGGACATAGCAATCCTAAATGGGACACTAGATCAGATAGATTTAAATGATATTTACAGAACATTCTACCCCAAAGATACAGAATATACATTCTTCTCTAGTGTATGTGGGACATTCTCAAAGATAGACCACCTGTTAGGACACAAAAGAAGTCTCTACAAGTTAAAGAAGACTGAAATCATATCAAGCACCTTCTCAGATCACAATGGCATGAAGTTAGAAATCAACTACAGTCAAAACATTAAAAAACATTCACACACAGGAGGCTAAATAATGTATTATTAAACAATGAATGGGTTGCCAAAGAGATCAAGGAAGAAATAAAAAACTTATTGGAAAAAAAATGAAAATGAACACACAACAACCCAAAATCTATGGGACACAATGAAAGCAGTCCTGAGAAGGAAAGTCATAGCACTACAGGCCTACCTCAAAAAACAAAAAAGACTTCAAATAAATTATCTAACCTTACAACTTAAAGACTTAGAAAGAGAACAAGAAAAGCCCAAATAAGTAGGAGGAAGGAAAGAATAAAGATCAGAGCAGATAGAAATGACATAGAGACTAAAAAAAAATACAAAAGATCAATGAAACCAATAGTTGGTTCTTTGAAAAAGTAAACAAGATCAATGTACCTTCAGCCAGATTCACAAGAAACAAAGAGAGAGGACCCAAATAAATAAAATCCTAAATGAAAGAGGTGATATAACAACTGACCTAGCAGAAATACAAAGGATCGTAAGAAAATACTATGAGCAACTATATGCCAACAACCTGGACAACCTGGTTGCAATGGACAAATTCCTAGAAACATGCAATCTTCCAAAGCTAAATCAGGAAGAATCAGAAAACCAGAATAGGCCAATAACAACTAACGAAATTGAAGCAGTAATCAAAAATCTCCCAGCAAACAAAAGTCCGGAACCAGATGGATTTACAGGTGAGTTTTACCAAACATTCAAAGAAGAACTAACACCTATTCTCCTCAAACTATTCCAGAAAATTCAAGAGGAAGGAAGACTCCCAAGCTCTTTTTATGAGGCCAGCATCACCCTAATCCCAAAACAAGATAAAGACACTACAAAGAAAGAAAATTACAGACCAATATCCTTGATGAACATAGATGCTAAAGTCCTCAACAAAATATTAGCAAGTCAGATCCAGCAATATATTAAAAAGATCATACACCACACCCAAGTGGAATTTATTCCAGGGATGCAAGGCTAGTATAATATTTGCAAATCAATAAATGTGATACATCATATAAACAAAATGAAGGACAAAAATCGTATGATCATATCAATGATGCAGAAAAAGCACTTGATAAAATCCAGCACCCATTTGTGATAAAAACTCTAAGCAAACTGGGAATAGAGGGAACATACCTCAACATAATAAAGGCCATATATGACAAACCTATAGCCAACATCATACTCAATGGTCAAAAACTAAAACCATTTCCCTTAAAAACAGGAACAAAACAGGGTTGTCGCTTTTCACCACTACTATCCAACATAGTACTGGAAGCCTTAGCCACAGTGATCAGACAGGAAGAAAACATAAAAGGTATCCAAATTGGAAAGGAAGAAGCAAAACTGTCATTATTTGTAGATGGCATGATATTGTACTTAGAGAATCCTAAAGGCTCCATCAAAGTACTACTAGATTTGATAAGTGAATTTGGCAAGGTAGCTGGATACAAAATTAACATCCAAAAATAGACAGCATTCTTATACACTGGCAATGAACTCTCAGGAAGAGAAACTAAAAAAAAAATATCATTTACCAACGCAACTAAAAAAATAAGATACCTAAGAATAAACTAAACCAAGGATGTAAAAGACATGTACCCAGAAAACTACAGGACACTAAAAAAATAAATAGAGAAAGATATAAACAAGTGGAAGAATATACCATGTTCATGGATTGAAATAATTAATATCATTAAAATGTCCATACTACCCAGAGCAATCTATAGATTCAATGCAATTTTTATTAAAATACCAACAGCATATTTCACCAAGCTAGAGCAAATATTCCAAAAATGTATATGGAACCAAAAAAGGCCCCAAATAGCCACAGCCATCTTGAGAAAGAAGTATAGAGTGAGAGGGATCACTTTACCAGGTATCAAACTACTACAAAGCCATTGTAATCAAAACAGCCTGGTATTGGTACAACAACAGACATATAGATCAATGGAACAGAACAGAGACCCCAGAAATAGACCTACACCATTATAGATAATTAATATTTGACAAAGGAGGAAAGATCATACAATGGAGTAAAGACAGCCTTTTCAATAAATGGTGTTGGCAACATTGGACAGGCACATGAAAAAAAGTGGAACTAGATCACCAATTTACTCCATATAAAAGAATAAATTCAAAATGGATAAAAGACTTAAATGTAAGTCACAAAACCATAAAAATCTTGGAAGAAAACATAGTCAGTAAAGTCACAGACATCTCACATAGTAGAATTTTCACTGATACATCTTCTAGGGCCAGAGAAACAAAGGAAAATATACACAAATGGGACTACATCAAACTAAAAAGCTTCTGCACAGCAAAAGAAATCAGCCTCAAAACACAAAGGAATTCCTAGGTATGGGAGAACATATTGTCCAAGGATACATCTGATAAGTGGCTAATTTCCAAAGNTATAAGAGACAGTCTGATAAGGGGCTAATTTCCAAAGTGTACAAAGAACTCATACAAGTCAACAAGAGGAAGACAAACAATCCAATTAAAAAATGGGCAAAGGACCTGAATAGACACTTCTCCAAAGAGGACATACAGATAGCCAAGAGACATATGAAAAAGTTCTCAATGTCGCAAATCATCAGAGAGATGCAAATTAAAACTACAATGAGGTATCACTTCACACCTGTCAGAATGGTACCATCAACAAATCAACAAATGACACGTGCTGGCGAAGATGTGGAGAAAGGGGAATCCTAGTACACTGCTGGTGGGAATGCAGACTGGTGCAGCCACTTTGGAAAACAGTATGGAGGTTCCTCAAAAAATTATAAATGGGACTGCCATTTGACCCAGTGATCCCACTCCTAGGAATATACCTTAAGAATCTTGAAACACTATTCAGAAAGAATATATGCACCCTTATGTTCATAGCAGCACAGTTTACAATAGCTAAGATCTGGAAACAGCCCAAATGCCCATCAGTAGCCGAGTGGATAAAAAAGCTGTGGGACATTTACACCATGGAGTACTATGCAGCTGTAAAGAAGAAGGATCTCGTACCTTTTGGGGCAGTATGGATGGACCTGGAGAATATTATGTTAAGAGAAATAAGCCAGGCAGAGGACAAATATCACATGATCTCACTTATATGTGGAATCTAAAGAACATAACAAACTGATGAACAGAATAGATTCAGTGACATAGAACCATGGAACAGACTGATGAATCTCAGAGGGAAGGTGGGGGTGGGTGGATAGGTGGGGAGAGTTTAACCAAAGAATTTATATGCATGTATGTATAACTCATGGACACAGACAATAGTGTGGTGAAAACCTGGGGCTGAGAGTGGATGGGGGGTAGAAGGGGTTAATGGGGGAAAAAGGGGGCATCTGTAATATTTGCAACAATAAAGATAAATTTTTAAAAAAGAACAGGGAGCTTGTCTTTTTCTTGCTTGAAAATTGCATCAATTGTATATTTTTTCGCAAAGAGGCATGTATATTTCTTATCTTCTAGGCTCTTGGTCTCCCCTTCCCAACTGATATTCCTTAAGCCCAGGCCTGTATCTCTCGATCCAGAGACCATCTCACTGTTTAGCCTGGAGACCACACTTCAGCTTCTAGAGGAAAGCATTGGTGAAAGTATTTAGATTTAAATTTTTAAAGTGAAAACCAGTAGGACCTGTAGAAAATGTGACTGGATAAAGAAAACTTGAGTTGATACCATGTCCTCCCAATGGTGATTCCAGGAAGGAAGAGTAATTAAGTCATAGGCAGATAAATGTCCAGTGGCAAAACCATTCAGGGCATGAATCTTGAGGTAGGCAGTGTTTTGGAACACATGACTCTGACTAGCTACTCCATCTCTTGTCCTTTCCTAGGTTACTCCATGCATCCCACACTGTTGTTCCTTCCCCCACCTTTGATGAATCCTACCACTGTGATCATTACTTCTGCATATTGCTCAGTCTTTTAAGTATATTTCCATATTTGTTATATGCATGCTTGCACAGACAGATATACCTCTATACACACCGCCAGGTATAGAGAGCAAAAACTATGATCTGCTTAGATTCCCAGGTGAACTAAGGTTTACAGCATGTGTCAACCCCAGCCATGCTTTCCAATCCCATCTCCAGATACTGTCCACACCAAATTGTCACCATTTCTCCACTGTAGTCTTCTCCCCAAGATTTGACTCAAATTTTTTCTGAACTTTTCTCTAATTTTAAACAATCTGGCCTTCATTTTCTCCATGTGCATATGTGGCAATTTATGCATTTAAAAAATAATGTTATCACATCACATTAATGTTTTTAAACATCCATATACTTCATTAGACTATAAACTTTCCCAAGTCAGGGCACAAATTATATTGCCTATAATAGGCATGCAATCAATATTTGTAGAATAAAGGAATGATAAAAGAAGAGAATGAGTAGACTCATTGAATTCAATAAATGTAAATTTTAAAAGAGAAAGGCAAGATATAGGTACTCACCAAACTGAAAATCTGTGTTTTTCCAGTTCCTCCAAGTAAGATATATCCTGTGAATTACCTTCAGTTTCTCCAGTTCCCCAAGCAGTTGCTTTTTCTTTCACAGAATGATCAGTCAGTCTTTCTCCCTTATCAGTGAAATTAAATAAATGGGGGAGAAAATGAAGTATTTTAGCAGATAGAAAGTTTACCTAGATTCAGTGACACCTTCTGCAGAATGACTTATAGAATCCTTGATCAGACAGAAACATAGTTAGCCATGGTTTTTGTACTGAAATTACTGCATTACAGTCCAGATTATCTCAATGAATTCTCATGTCTATGATGGCAGACTGTGCCACATACACACTTGTGTTATCTCTCATGAAACACCTTCTATAAATATTGTTAGAATTTAAAAACAAATAAGTCAAGACTATTGGTTGCAAATAAAGGAACTGCAGCTTGGACTAGCTTTTAGCAAAAGGAATTTGAAGGAAGGTTTAAACTACCAGACTATAGAGAAGGCAGGAAGGCAGCTGGACTTTAGAACATAGGAACCAAAGAATGGAAGGCCACCAAAACTGTCAACCTCTGCTCTCTACTTCAACAGGCCACTTTACTCTAGCAGTCACCAAAGTTCCTGAGTTCCATGGTCCCTGACTCCCAACAACATAAGTTTAAGCTCAGGACTATACATTGTCTGTGGAGCTAATTCACTAGGACTTGAGAGAACTGTGTGGCCCATGTTGCTGGATCCAGAAAACACATTGTTCCACTGGAGAAACTGAGTTGTACAGTTCAACAAGGGATTCTTAGGAGTCCTACTACTGTGGGAAGAAGCAGAGGGAGCAGCTAACCTAACTGAGTTTTTCTTCCCCTTTCCACCAAAACAATTCAACTTTCAACTGTTTACATATTGAGGTCTCCTGAAAGATTTTATTACAAAATGCTACTACAAAGTCATTTGAAACCACTAGCCGCAGAAGAAAATTAGGCATGACTTGTATTTATAAGATAGTTGTGTTAAAACTCTTCTCTCCTTTTCTTTACACTCTTTTCAAATGTTTTAAATTATCATTAGCAAGAAGATAGTTGCCTGGAATTCCTTGATATCAGTTCACACATGGTTTTTCAAATATTTTGAAATTGCAAAATGTTGCTTTGGATTCATAGGCAGATTACAGTAATTAGGAAAACCTTCGAGTGAAACACAGGGGAAGTAGATGTGTCATCAAATCTCTAGTAAACTCATTTTTTATTGTGAAATTTATTTTATTATGAAATTCATTGATTTGATTACCTTAAGAACAAAACCCAGTTATGATAGCCATCAATTTTAAGCACCTTTTCTTCTGGCCCTTTGCATCCTTCTCAGCCTCTACAGCTCCTGTACCAATAAAGGTGTTTTTAATCAAAGGTTTCAGTGTTTAATCAAAGGACAAGGATCTTCATGTCCTTGACCAGGAAGCTCAGCTTGGTGATGGGGATCCACTCCTTGGCCTTGGCCTTGGCCTTGCCTCTGAGAGCTCTGCAGCCTTGGCCCTGAGCCCAACCCTGGCTGTGACCTTGGTCTGGATGCCAGCTGCCCAATCTTTCATGGAAGCCTCTGTAGCTTTTTTAAAACAACCTTAATTCACTTCATTTTTCTTATATAAAATTATGTGATGGCCACAGCTGGAACCTGGGTCCTCTGCACAGAAACTCTGGGGTGGTCTTTGCAAGATGGTCAGTGAGTTCCTGATAAGGAGACTTGGTGAACACTGTCTCTTTCCAGAGGTCAGGGGTGAGATAGCCGTGGGTCTTGGAGATGGCATCAAAGGTGGCCTCAGTGAAGTTGCCCAGGGTGGCAGTGCAGCCCCTGGCCGAGGTGTACCAGTCATTGATAGTGGCCAGCAGGAGCAGCTTCTTGGGCACAAGTGCCCCTGGGGACAGGGATGAGATGTACCAGCACAGAGCCACAGCTGCCAGTCACCTTGCAAGGGACAGTGTGGGGTTTACAATCTTGTTCCCCAAGTAGCCTCCCCACACAGGGACAACAGAAAGCTTGGCCAGGATGATGGCCCCACAAATGGCAGTGTCTACTTCCTTGGAGCACTTAACACCCAGGCCGACTTGCCCATTGTAGTCCCCAAGGTGACAAATGCCTTGAACGGGATCTTCTGGCCAGTGTGGGTCTGCTTTTGCCCTGGCATAATCTTCAAAACCTTGTCTTGAGAGATGCCCCCAGGAAAAAGTCAATGACCTCAGATTTCTTGATGGGCAAGGAGAAGAGATAGATCTGCTCCAGGATTTGATCTTCATGTCCTTGACCAGGAAGCCCAGCTTGTTAATGGGGATCCACTCCTTGGCCTTGGCCTTGCCTCTGAAAGCTCTGCAGCCTTGGCCCTGACCCCAACCCTGGCTGTGACCTCGGTCTGGATGCCAGCTGCCCAGTCCTTCATGGAACCCTCCGTAGCTTCAAATTCCAAGGCCCTGGAGCCTCTGGGCCCTCCCCCAGCACTGGTGTCACCCCCTCCCCCCCAATTTGATGTTTTCTCAGAAAAGAAGCCAGTGTTGGTATTCTTAATTATTTGATTCCTGAATAAAGAATGCCAAAATTCTTTCAATATATGAGAGCTTTCAATTGCCCCAACTAAATATATTTGATTTGTATATCTTACTAGAGTGCTTAAAACATGTTTTTGTAATTATTTAAATTTTAAATTGGATGGCATTTCTTCATGTGTTGTTTAGATACCTTATTCAGTCTCACTTGATAGAAAATTGAAATTGCCACCCAAAATTACACTATATTTGTTTTACTCACCAAAGTTCCTAATTTGTTAAAGTATAGGTGTTTCATAGTAGAGTGCATTAAATTGCTTTCTATTTGATTCATCTGCGTATATCTATCTTGATTATTCAACTAAGTTTATGGTAGAAATGGGATGTAGCATATTTATCTTTCATAGCATTTAAAATGGTAATAAGCACATAATAGATACTCAAGAAATAACTAATAGAAATCATTTCATTAAGCACTTACACTAAAATACCAACAATGAATTCTATCTCTAGTTATTTACTCACAAATAAAATCACCTGTGAATTCTAAAATTAGCACAAACTTTATGAATCTTTGGAGTTCCTTTAAAAAATATCTTTAAGTTAATGTGTTAAAAATGCCTCCAAATAGATGTTTTAGAAGACATAAAATCATGGAAACTAGTTCATCTCCAAAGAAATGAGCACAAAGAGGAACAAAAACACAAATAAATGAAAGTTTTAAATCCAAAAAGGTGGTGAATCTGTGCAGGGAAATTTTCGCATGAGTACCAGGGTGTGTGAGCCTGTTCCTCAGGGGAAGTAAAACAGCCTCTCAACCACAGACTTCTATCTTGAATCTATAACGGAAGATAATGCTTTAACTAGGACATTGTCAACATTTAAAAAATAGAAAATAGATCCATTACAAGTCTAAGTCCTGTCTGTACCTACCCTAAAGTCAAATAAGATCACCATTTAAAATATATATATATTCCAATAGTTACGTGTTTAGAAAGATGAATTCCTATACTTTAAAAGAAAAATTGGTCCTGCAAATTTGTTCCAGAATGTCATATTTTACATACTTTGTGTACGGTGACTCAGACTTTGACCCATTGCAGAAATCAACAGGAAATATTTAAGTGTAAATTGATAAAATTCAGACTATGATTTTCAAGTTCATGAATTAAAAACTTTTTTATGAGGTTTACCATTCTTATACAAAATTAGTTTAAAAAAACAAAAAAACAACAACAATTAATTATCACTCTTTCAACCACAACACAAAATGAGAGGCAAGAAGTGTTTTAAAATTCTTCGAAAACTAAAGTGTATAGTGTTGTAGTGAAAAGGGCCAATAAGTGATGCTCTGAAGACATGCAGTCAAGTCTTCTCTATTTTTCCAACTTAGATGATTTAAAGCCCATGAATTAAGTTCCTTTTAAATCTGAAAATGAAGACAATATTTTTTCTACACAGATCATAGGATTTTTATGAAGACAAGCTGAGATAAGAGCTGCAAAATATTCCTGGGAGCGGGGAGGATAGCACTTAATGCTTTAGAATATTAAGGATGCAAGTAGCATCTGGCAAAATGCACTGTCCGTCGCATAGGTGACCAATGCAACACTGAACATGCTTTCTGGAGCTGCTAAGCAGAAAACATTACAAGAAGACAAAATCTATTTAATCTCGAAGTTGTGCACCTCCTGACACGATCCACCTGTTCAGTCGTGATATATGGCAGCCCAGGGTCCCTCTGTGGCTCAGGGCTTTCTGCCCCTTAGCCATAACTCTTTCCATGGACCAACCCGTCCATGGGGATGTATGCGAGAGGGCAGATCCATGCGGAGAGAGCCCGCTTGCAGGCCACAGGCGGTGACAGTGTGGCACAGAAGCGCTGGGGTGGGGCCACGGCTAAGCTCCACTCAGCAGCAGCACTTCACCCCAACTCTTAACAGGGTCTTTGTGGGGGCTCTGAGGAGCGCTGCTCATCTGCCCATCTGGCCAGATGAAGAGCAAGGGGATTCTTTCATCAAAAGAGAGAGCCTTAGAAAGAGGAAACGGCGACTGAAGGGCTGAATCCCCAGGATTACTGGCGCTTTTGAACTGCCCTGGGAAGTGAGGAGCATGGAGGCACTAGTGCCCGCCCAGGGAATGCACACTGGGTTTTAAAAGCAAAACAAAAAACAGCACGAGAGGAAGGCTTGGGGTGAAGGTACTCCGCTGAGAGGCTTGTGTTAGTAAGATCACAGAACTGCAAGTCACAGATCACAACAACAAACACCAGGTGCATCTGAAGTATCGAAGCTAACAAACATGACATCATGTTCAATGCCATCAGTGCTGTTATTATGATCCAAAAAAAAATCATAGCTCCAAATTAAATCCAGCCTAAATCCTGAGACCATCCAGCAAGAATACTATTTCTTCTTTCTTTAATTCATGTCTAATGTGTTTACCAAAGAATTTTTCAGGCTAAGCTTTCCATTAGCAGTACCCAGAGGTATCCCTGGCTGGGTAGCACAGGATTTACCTGAAGAGACTCCTCAGGTAAGTAACACCCCGGCTTCTGTTTCTGCCCTTTGAAGAACAACTAGCATTTCTGGCCACTTAGGACCCCAAATTCCAATAGCTTTCTGGCCATCTGTTGTTATTCGGAACGCTGATGCTTCGCATGCGAAGTTCCACGTGAACTCTGCTTTTCCACAGCCACCCTGGGAATTTTCTAGGTTAGAGTTTTTAATATCAATTGAAGATCCAAGTTAATTCCTAATACCATGAGAAGATTAAAAAAAGGGAAAACACTTAAATTTAAATAGGGAGTCTCAGATTTAGATTCAGTAAGCATTATAACTCCCCTAGTCCATAGCAATCAGTGGCTTGCATCTTGGGTGTGTTTTTGGCTCTGTCTGCCCACAACAATGATCTTACTGAGACATTTTCCCAACATGCACAAGCTTCCTAAAGAAATTCAGACTTAAGGCACTTTCCCAAAGTACCTGTCCCCCAAGGAAGAGCTTGCTCCCCCAAGCAATTGACTCACAATTTTTAAAATACATTATTAAAAATAAAATAAAAAAGGAAATCTTTAATTTATCATGTAAATTCAGAAAATAGAGAAAAGAATTAAGTTTTCCAGGTGGTTGCATGCTCCCTCACCTTGCCTATGTTAGCCTTTCTCGTAATCCCAAAGTTTAAGGCCAGCAATTGGTATGAAAATTTTACAAAAATATTTAAAGGCTAACATGAGATCCATAATATCTTAGAAGTTTCACTGAGCTATCCGTTCTAAAGTTCCCCCAAAGAGTATACATAAAAGTACTTAATACATAATATGTATAAAGCATGTGAACGTTTTTCCTTCCCAGCAAATGGTCCTTTGTTCCCACGTGCTATCCTTTAAATTAATGCTAGGAGACCCAATAAGTAGAAAACATATACCTGGCCGAAGGGATAAAGAAATACACAACTCTTTTAAAGTATTATCTCATGATGGATACAGATATGAGTTCCAGAAACAGAAAGTCTGGTTCAAATCCCATCTACACACGTATTAACAGTTCCTTTGGCTAACTTACTCCATCTCCCATGCCTTATTTTGTCACCTGTAAAAATAAAGAAATGATGACAATAGTGGTATCCATCCCATAGGCTGTGGGAATAAGATGAGTCATTTGACGGAGAGGACTGAGAACACCTCCTGGCACCTACTCATTTTCTAGCACGCAGTAAATATTATCTTTCATTGCTACAGATGTCACCAAACCTTTGATCCCTAACCACTATTGTAAGTGCTATGAGTGCTCATCTGGACATTAAAAACTCAGTCACTTATTTAATCAGATGGCTGTTCACTATTTAAAGATGAAAGCAAACCTTCCTTTAAAGATAAGGGCCCCATAGTCGTCTCTACACACCTATGTTTATTTAGTTAGAATAGTGGAGAATTAAGACAATGATTCAGATAGCATTTGTCTTGGAAAGGGCAGGGTCAGAGGGCAATCCGTTCACTCCAATTTTCTATCCAAGCTGCATTTTCTGAATACTTAGAAGTCAAAGTCACGTGGTCTTATGTAGACATAGATTTTGGAAATGGTTAGGTATCGGAAAACTGGATCCAGTAATACCAGTGAAATTAATCTAACCAGCATCTGGAAGCCCAGGCTGTGTAATTTATATACATTTTTCAAGATATTTTCTGGACATACTTTATGGCAGCCTTAATCGTGCCAAATAAAACACAGTGCAATTAGCACACTTTCTAATCACCCCGCCCAAGCTGGAAAAAGGAATGTAGACTGATTAATTTAACTAACGTCTTCACCAGCTTAAAGAAGTCTGATTCGGATGCAATAAAAATTTATTGGCATGGCTGATTTCATAAGCGTCAGCTGCTTTCTCATGTCCCACACTTCAAAACCTCCTTTGAAGACCAAATTACCTTCTACCTGGAAATATATTTTAAGAAATCATAGTTAATAATCAGGGACTGCTGTTTTCATGATCTTTTCAAAGCCAACCTCTACAGCCTTCCTCTTACCTTGTTGCGTAATTCCTGGCCTTCTTTTAAGAGATCGAGATCACAGTCCGAAGGGCAAGAACCAATTTTATTAAAAATGCTTCCTAGGGTTAAAGACAAAAGGTGCAAAAATATATTACAGATTTTCACTTCAGAGGATGTGTAAGCTTTCACTGCTGAAATCTAAGAGCTTATATAAGGCCTGACAACTGGGGGCAAAAGAAATAATACTAAGAAAGATGCTCATAGCTGTTTTATGCTCCAGGCTTTAATTCAATGTGTAAACTTCAAGTAGACTCTACTAGTGGCCACACCACGGGATGCAATTTATAAGCAGCAGCTGCATCTGGCCTGCTTTCCTACCCTCATCCCGGTAAGATTCTCTATCTTTAGCTGTGCTTCAAAGAAATTCCTGTGCACCTCCTACCAATGTTTCAATGTAAAACTTTGAGACTAGGGAGGTCTGTCCTCTGCCTTTACCCAGTGCTTCCCACCTGAGATCCTTTTTTCATATCTTACATGACTTGTTTTATATCATAGTTTCTCAGCCTCATTTGGCTGAGGATGACATTTTGGATTGGTTGGATTGGATAATTCTGGGGGCAGTCTGTGTTCTGTTAGGCTGTTTAGCAGCATCCCTTACATCTACCCCCTAGATGCCATAGCACCTTCCATTTCTCCACCCTTCCCCAGTTGTGATAACCAAAAATGTCTCCAGACATTGCCAAATGTCCCTTGGAAGGCAAAACATCCCCATCTGAGAACCACTGCTCTAGATCAGGAACTCCTTGCAGACAATGTGTCTTGTTCACGTTAGTTTCGCCTGTAATCTCTAGCACAGTGCCTGAAACAGAGTTCCACAAATATCTTTTAATTATAAATCAACAGACAGAGCTATCACATAAGCAAGTATTATTTAAGCTTTATGCCTCTTACGTCATTGGCTTGATGACCCCTCACTTCAATGAACCCATATGCCAAGGTCTACCCCCAGGGTCTTGTGACAAATACCCTGGCCCAGAAGCCGCCAGAGCTCGGAATCCCTCAGTAGAGCCACAGCTTTAACAAAAAGGTTGACTCAACATCTTTGTTTTTAGTATATATGTGTCATGTACCATGAGCAGCTAAGCCTTGCAGCCTGCCCTCTTCTCTCCCTCCAGGGTTTGAAGGCTGCCAGCCCCTGCCCTTTGGAATTTCCCTGTGGACACTTTTTTGTGAGATTGCCAGAGTATAAAATTATTAAGACATGGTCTCCGTGTCTTCAGGCTTTTTCTCCCTGAAGGTGACCCACCAAGGTTTGTGTGGATCATGCATTTCGAACATCAATAGTTTCATTGTATCTTCTGACACTCACCCAGTACACTGGGCCAAACTAAAGTCAAAATTAGAAAACACCCTTCTTCAGGGAGGGTGGCATAGGTCAGGGACCACTCTCTGAGAAGCCGGGCACTTGAATCTTTCAGATGAGGATCATGTAAACCATGGCAAGAGCTTTCTTACTTTGAGTCTAAAACAGACTTCATTGATGGTGAGGTTGAGATGGCCAAAATCAAGATAAGAAAGGGGGAGAAAAGAAGAAGGCAGGACCCCAAAAAACATTTTTATTTGGATTTTAAATATATTGTTCTTTGTCAAGCCTTATAATTTAAATTCTCAGTGAATAGTTGCTAGCTGAAATAACAATTTTAAAATAATAAAATTCACTTTAGCGTATTCTAAGAACTTTATATATATTAGGCTGTGCACACACACATACATACACACATACACACCAAAAATAAAAATAAAATAAAACAATAAACTGCTAAAAGAGCTAGCATTACTCTATTTCACAGATTTGAAAGTTCAGACTTGACGAGATCAACGAACTTCCCCCGAACTTCTCCCAAATCAGAGTTAATCAGCATAAAATCTTAAATTTAGACCCAAGTTCTATTCAACTTCAAAGCCTATGCATTTAATCCCTCTGTTCTATCTTACTTAAGAACTACTTATACACCGTTTTAAACACTGAACAATATATTCGTTTTTATTGTTGCTTGAACAAATTTCCACAAACTTAGTGACTTAATATCCATTTATCTCACATTTTTTGCAGGTCAGAAATCTGGGTATAGCATGGCTCAGCTGGTTCCTCTTCTTAAAGTCTTAAAAGGTCAAAATCAACATCTCAGCCAGGGCTGCAGTCCCATCTGAGTCTAGGAATCCTCTTCTAGGCTTGCTGGCTGTTGGCAAAACTCATTTCCTTCTCATGCTTTCCATGTGGTCTCCTCTACCTTCAAGCCAGCGGGAGTGGGACGCATCTTCTCACGTGTTCTACTGTGCGTCTCAATTCAGTTATGACGACTTTCTTTCTCCCTTTTAGCACCACAGTCACACATATAGGGAACAGATTCAGAAGTGCACTGCCAGGTGTGTAGTTCTAATAAAGGAGTGGTAAGAAACCAGAACAAAGTGAGGGGCCCTGACAAAAAAGAGCATATGGAAAGGGAATGTCTAAACAAAGCATAAAAGTGTTCCGTGGGAGAAAGGGCCATCTTTTAAAAACCTAACAACTCCTACAATTATGACACCACTGGAGAAAAAAGCCCTTCTCTGCCTTCTCTCCCTGCCCTGCCCCTGATCAGATCCTGAGGGGGCCAATAACCATGATTCTCAACACGGAGAAGGGGTAGAAGCATAACGCTCAGAAACAGAGACTGCAACCAAGTTCTGCACTCCTGCTCAGGTTTTAGGGCCAGCCTGAAAGCAAAGACACTGAGAGCCTTTTCTTTTTTGTTATTAGCCCTAACTAGACCTATGAACCAATTATTTTATTTAAGACTGGAGGCAGGGGTGAGAGTAAGATGAACCGAGGACTGATGGTTCACCACAAGCTCCCTTTACAGACCTGACCTCGTCGCTCAAACCCTGTATAATATGAAAAGGAAAGAGCAAGGGTCACTTCATTCGTTGCTTAGATTATAACCGTCTGTATAACAGCCTGATGTCACTGGCAACTCTGCTAGCACACACTCTGCATTTCCCCTGGCTCTATCCAGAATATCTGAATCCAATCTTTTTATTTTTAAAATCAACATATTAAGTTCTAATTTACATTCAATAAAATGTGCACATTTTAATTCAATGAGTTTTGACAAATATATGCACCCATGTAACTCCCATCACAAAATCTTAAATATTTTGTATAACCCTCTAAAATTTCCCCATGCCCTTTGCAGTCAATTACCCTATCCCTAACACACACACACACACACACACACACACACACACTCCTGACAACCACTTATCTGATTTCTATCACTACAGATTAGAATTCTGTCATAAAATTTCATACATATGGAATAATGCAGTATTTACTCTTTTATGGCTGGCTTCTTCCATTCAGGATAGTATTTTGAGACTCATCACATTTTATTGCTAAGTAGTATTCCTTTTGATGAATGCCCTGAAATTTATTGACTAATTCATCTATTAATGGATATTTCAGTGTTTCAAAGTTTTGACTGTTGTAAGGACAGCTGCTATGAACATTCAGGTCCAAGCGTTTTTGGGGACATATGTTTTTATTTCTTGTGGTAAATACATAGGAGTGGGATTACTGGGTCATAAGATAAGTGTTTAATTTTGAAAAACTGCCAGTTTTCCAAAGGAGTTGTACTATTTTTTCCTCCTACCAGTCATGTATGAAAGTTTCTGCCAAATTTTCATCAGTACTTGGTGTTGCTGGTCTTTTTAAGTTTAGCATGTTAGTGGATGTGAAGTGGTAACACATTAGTGTTTTAATTGGCATTTCCTGATGCCTAAAGATTGTTAGGCATTATTTATGAATTAATTGGACATTTCTTATCTTCTTTGGTGAAACCTCTGTCTAAGTCTTAGAACTTTAAAAAGTGAATTGTTTTTCTTATTAGTGAAAATATATAATATGGTACAAACTGTTTGTCACATACAGGTACTGCAGATGGTTCCTCTTAGTTTGTAACTTGCCTTTTATTTTTCCTAATGGCAACATGAAGAGAAAAAAGTTAATTTTGTTAAAATATAATGTATTATTTGTTTTTCTTTCATAGTAAATAATTTTTGTGTCCTGTCTAAGAAAACTTTGCCGAGGTCATAAACATTTCTCCAAAGTTTTCTTCTAGAAGTTCTCTTGCACTGGGTAGGACTCCAATATATAAAGTGATGAGATTAGACATCCTTGCCTTGTTGTTTATTATATATAAATATATA